GTTTTATCTAGAGGGAGAGCTGCTGATGGGTGGAATGGGTAGATGATGTTACTTGGTAAAAGAGGACAGAAATAAAGGTTATAACTCTTCATTCCCCCGGAGATTCAGTTACCAAGCATAACATTTATGTGGGGAAAAGATAACAAAGACCTTGTCTGGCTTAGAGGCAAGGCAAAGTAGTCCACTGATTTTCAGTGGTTGTATCTGTTTCTTGCAGAAACCACCTTCATAGAATCATAGAACGGTTTGGGTTGGAAGGGACCTTTAAAGATCATCCAGTTCCAACCCCCCTGCCGTGGGCAGGGACACCTTCCACTAGACCAGGTTGCTCCAAGCCCCATCCAACCTGGCCTTGAACACTGCCAGGGATGGGGCAGCCACAGCCTCTCTGGGCAACCTGTTCCAGTGCCTCACCACCCTCACAGTGAAGAACTTCTTCCTTACATCTAATCTAAATCTACCCTCTTTCAGTTTAAAGCCATTACCCCTTGTCCTATCACTACATGGCCTTGTAAAAGGTCCCTCTCTGGCCTTCTTTTGGGCACCCTTTAGGTGCTGGAAGGCTGCTATAAGGTCTCCCTGGAGCCTTCTCTTCTCTAGGCTGAACAACCCCAACTGTCTCAGCCTGTGTTCACAGGAGAGGTGCTCCAGCCCCCCATCATCTTTGTGGCCCTCCTCTGGACTTGCTCCAACAGGTCCATGTCCTTCTTATGTTGGGGGCCCCAGAGCTGAACACAGTACTCTGCATGGGGTCTCACAAGAGCAGAGTAGAGGGGGAGAATCACCTCCCTCCACCTGCTGGCCACACTTCTTTTGATGCAGCCCAGGATATGGTTGGCTTTCTGGGCTGCAAGCATACATTGCTGGGTCATATTGAGTTTCTCATCAGCCAACAACCCCCAGTCCTTTTCTGCAGGGCTGCTCTCAATCCACTCATTGCCCAGCCTGTATTTGTGCTTGGGATTGCCCCGACCCATGTGCAGGACCTTGCACTTGGCCTTGTTGAGCTTCATGAGGTTCACATGGGCCCACCTCTCAAGCCTGTCAACATCCCTCTGGATGGCATCCCTTCCCTCCAGCATGTTGACCGCACCACACAGCTTGGTGTCATCAGCAAACTTGCTGAGGATGCACTCAATCCCACTGTCCATGTCACCAACAAAGATGTTAAGCAGAGTCAGTCCCACTACCGACCCCTGAAGAATGCCACTCATCACAGGTCTCCACTCAGACATTGAGCAGTTGACCACAACTCATTGAGTGAGACCATCCAGCCAATTCTTTATCCACCAAATGGTCCATCCATCAAATCCATGTCTCTCCAATTTAGAGACAAGGATGTTGTGCGGGACAGTGTCAAATGCTTTGCGCAAGTCCAGGTCTCAGTGATGGTTGTGACAGATACAGCCAGTGTGTGGCTCTACTTCAAGGTGGTCCTATTCCTAAGTAATGCTGATTCTGCCCAGCTCTGGCTGTGACCTTCATTGCAGATCTTTAAGCACTCTTTGTTTTTGTTCCCAGCAAACAGTTTAAAAACCTGAGGCACGCAGAGGCGGAACATTTAATTTACAGATGTATATGGTACCTGCCTCAATAGTGTTAATGCATCCGTAGCCAGCTGTCACTCTCCTGCACCTGGGCTGCCGCAGTCATGTCCCTGGCTCCCCTACCTGCTTCCTTGCCTCACTGGAGCTCGCTCTTTGATTTTGCAAGATTTGCAGAGTGCTAAATCTGGGCCCAGCAGTGTTATTTTTAGAGTCTTGAAAATAGGCTAATAGACAAAAAAAGATTTTTCTCACAGTTTAATGAACCTTTTTTAGTTTTTGGGAGGGAAGGGGAGGATGACAGTAAGATGGAAGGGCTTTTCATGTCATCTTCTTAGTCATATAAGGGGCAGAGGGTCCACCTATGGTGTTAGCGTCCTCCCAGAGCTCCATGTGCATTGTCCCATCCCATTCTTCCCCCTTGATCTGTTTCCAGAACTCTTCTTTTCTTATCCACCCACTTTTCCTCCCTCCTGCCACCCCCTGTCCTTTAGCGCTGCCCCAGATGTCTTCTCCTGTGCCTGCTGCCTGCATTGCCAGCTGCACACAGATTGCATTTCCCCAAATCAATTTTAAGGAGCCGTTGATGGAGGTGGATTTCAGGAAAACGCCTACTGTTCATTTCTCGGTTTCTGCCAGGGCGGGTTTCAAGTGTTCACGTTCCAGCCAGAAGCCTTATTCAAGGTCTGGAGCTGGGCAGATGCTGCAAAGACCAGCACACCAGAGAAGTGTTTGTCCTGGTCCGTCTCAGCCTCTTGGGAAAGATAACTGTTATCCATGGGTGATGTGCTTGCGTCGACTTTGAAATTATCATGTAGGCAGCTGGTGCTGTGTTACCTGAGGTAGGTCATTTGGTTACGGTCAGTTAAGGGATGGTGAAAATGAGTTTAGTCCTCAAATGTGTACAAAAAAAGAAAAAGAAATAATAATAAAAAAAAAAAGCAGGGGGGAAGGCAAGGAGGGCAGAAGCTGTCAACTGTGAAGTGCTGTGCTTCCAGAAGGCCATCTGTCCACTGCCCTGTGTTGAAGTGAGTGCAGGTTTGGATTGCTAACCCTTCCCTCTGACCCTGGGGACTCCACATTTCAGAGAGTGTGAGTGAGCAGATGGATTTTATTAGACTTAGAAGAGCCAATTTTTAAACTGAAAAAGCTTTCAACCTTTTCTTTACAGAATGGTGTTGACATGGAGGTCTTTGTCTTTCAGAAGCTTGCCTCTTCCCTCCTTCTCTCCCCCACCTGCAGTACAGTGTTTAAAACCCACCTGAACACTGCCCACCTAGTGATCGTGGCAGCAGTTTGTCATACCAAATGCTTTCTATGTATCTTACCTCATATTTGTTTTGGCTTAAGATATAGCCCAGTCCTCCAAATGTTTACCGCCGGACGTGCTCCCGCTGACATCTGCAGGAGAGCAGCAAGTCCAACTGTTGACCAAAGTGATCCTGGTAGCAGCTGCTGCCCGTTTGGGGTATGGACCTTCTCAAACAAGTAGTGATCGTGTCCTGAACACAGAGTGTATTTTTACTAATGTCTTTCCAAGATAAAAGGCCACAAAGATGACCACCACCTAGGGACTAATTAGCCAGAAGCCTCCGTCTCATTGGGCATAATCCAGATGTTGCCCTGCTGATTTCAAGGCTGTTAAGTGCAAAAATCGACACACAGGAGTTGAGAGTGGGTCTATATCACAGGCTTTTGGGAGGCCGTCAGTCAGGGCTTTGATGGGGTGTGTGATCTCTGGCCAGCACAGCTGTGCTGACAAGAGGTCGCCAGCATAGACTTCTGCTAGTTATACCAGCAAAACCTTGGTTTTACTGGTATTGCTGACATGGCAGAGGAGAAGCTTTCCTGCAAGTTCAGTGCTCCCAGTGCGAGCTCTGTCAATGGTGACCTCCCTTTACCCATCTTGTAGACCCCAGTCTGGCTGCTCTGGCAGCCTCCCTGGTAAGAGCTGGCCTAAGCGGGTGCAGTTGTGAGTTTCCTGTTAGGAGGCCAAGACTGTGCTTGCTTTTATTATTATTTTTTTTAAGAGTCTTTTGAATGCATTTTTTAAAATGTACATCTTGTTCTCAAGAAGGCTTTGATCTTGCTAATCTTTTCATCTATACATCAATCTGTTGTGTGAAAATGCTGGAACGTGCTTTTGTTGTGGCATGGGGTTTCTTTGGGTTTTGTTTTCATTTTTTTGCATAGTTTAGAGAATTTTTCTTCCCTGAGGCTCTCCCTCTGGCTTGATCTTACATGAAAGTTGACCACAGATGTGTCAGGTTCTAGAGTGCCACTTTAAGCCATGTCTTTGAATTTTCTTTGCAGGGATTTCCTGATATCAAATTAAAACAATTCTTTTTCATTGCATTAAGATAAAGAAAGCATTTTGGGTGAGTCTGCACATTCAGTTGTGAGCAGACCTGAGCTCTCTCTGCCTTTCTCTACCAGGTGGGATGCACACCAACTTTCAACCCAAAGTCCTGTGGTTGCTACAACATGAGGCAGGGTCTGGACTAACTAACCTGCTCTCTGTCTGTGTTATTAGGTCAAGCAACTGGTGTGCTGCTGTGGTTGTGGTCATTTGGCCGGTTTGAGGCATGGACAATATGATTAAATCCATCTGTGTTTCGCCATATAGACTTAGCCTTAATCTTGGTCACTTATGTATGCCCTTTTCCCTTAGTTCTTGCCATAGGTTTAGACCTCAGGTTATGCTTTCATAGTTACAGCCATGCTTTCCTAAAATGTCCATCTGCTCATGATAGCAGCTGTGTAAATGCAGTCATATCTGTGAAAAGTAATGCCCTGTGGTATAAGTTTATCCCAAGAGAAAGTGGAGGAGGGGTCCTCTGGCAGCCAAAAAAAATCAAAACTGTACCTCCTATACATGCCTATCAAAATACAACCTTTGTAACAAGTCACTACTACTGAGCCGAATCAGGATCTTTGCAGTCGTTGGACCCTCATTGAAGACAGTGGTGTGACAAGGTGTCCCTTTTAACTTTCCTCACTAGTAAACTAGAAATTGCTGTACTTAATAGTTTATAGCGTCATGGTAACAGTTGGTCACTTCAGCTGGGAAAGGAGCCAATCCCCTTGGTTCTGTGTGTAACTCTGTGAACAGAGAGTTTGACTCGTGTTGATCGGTTGGGGAGGAGAAGGTTGGAGCATGGAAGGCAGCCACCTGGGAAGTGTGCTGCCAAAACACAGAGCTGGCTTCGAACAGCTTCTCCATCGCAGACATCTTGCTTAAACACTTGTGTGTGACCCAATGGTATGCTCAAGGACTGCATGGAGGTCTTTCACATGCTTTGTGTTGACCTTTTGGAGGCTGATACACTAGGCAGTACCTCAAGATCTTTGAATGTTTGTTGTCCTTGATATTATTGATCCGTTGCAGGTAAGTGTAAGCTTCTCGGCTTATGAAAACGTAATGAATTTCTTTTTCTACCTCTGTCTTTTGCCTAGGTCCTGAGGGAGACCAATAAATTAGCTGAAATGGAAGAGCCACCTTTGCTACCAGGAGAAACCATTAAAGACATGGGTATGTGAAAATTCCTTATTGTTTGCTGACCAAATAGGGTATTCTTAGAGCAAAATATCTTGGCGGTCATTGACCAACAGCAGCAAATTGCTTATGTTTTGAGAACCATGGTCAGGTTGTTTCATTAATCGAGTTATTGCACATCACATGAGCCAAGGTAACTGTATGTCTCCTAGTAGCATGTAGCAAATACAAGGCAATTCAATGTATCTGAGCATGAGTGATGAGCTAGGTTGTACAGCTTTGCATTTGCTGCCTCCTGAGAGCACATGGATCGACCATTTCAAGTTGTGCTTCTTAGGCTGACACAGCACAATTGTGTGTCGAATCTCTATCGCAGACTGCAGCAGAGGATACAGCGCTGTTGCAGAGAACTTGTTGTGATAGGGGGATGGGGCTTTTTTCCTTTTTTTTCATCCAGACATTCTGACATGCATCAGGTTTGCTGATGCACTCCAGTCTGAAAGTTTGAGTAAGCCTCTTGATTAATTTTCTGTGAAAGATTTTGCATTCACTAGTTTTAACATGTTGCCTTCTTCTTAAAATGATATCGAAGAGTGCAACTGCAGTCCTAAAAATAGCCCCCCCCAAACCAAAACTGAAAATACCTGACCAAAAAACCACACTCAACAAAACCAAACCAAAATAAAACCCCACCTCAATGCTCAGTCCTTTTCTCTACTCCTTTCCTAAGGACTCTGAACTCGTACTCCGACCATGCACTGCAGACTGACATCTAACTCACTCCACAGGCACAGTTAGCTCTTACAGCAAGACTATATTTCGAAGGGTTCCTGGGGAATGGTTTAAGGGATCAGAGTCAGCAGTGTTTTATCTGTTGACAAATGATGTGATGAGCCACGTTAAGTTTGGGTGGCTTTTGGAGTAGCCCAGACAGCCGCTGCCTGGTCCAGAAAGAACTTAAAGGCAGCAAAAAAGAAACCTTTATTATTCATCAGCAATAATTATTTCCTGGTAAAAGTGTCAAGAAAGGCAAATGTAATTCTCTTTGCATTTTACAGGGAAGGGAAGAAAAATTATTTCAGCCAACCCAATAATCTCGGGTAAGATTGGCCCTGTATGAGACAGGAATTCCATAAGCAGGGGAATTAGTAAATCCTGGTTTCCAGTATCTTTCCCCCATATGGATTCTCTTATATCTAGTGAAGACTGAGCTTATTAGACTTTCCCTTGGTAGTAACACTAGTACTGCCTCTCTATTATACCTGGCATCCGTTCTCACAAACAGTCTAGCATTTTAATGCCTTGGAGGTCCCTACTTATCAGATAGAGACTGCTGAAATCATACAACCATGATAGGGTTAAGGTCAGACAAGCCATGTGTGTAGGTACATGTGTACATGTGCAGTGTAATTAAGTAAAATTGTTTCTGTAGGAAACCAAGCTAATAAAATGCAAATGTAAAAGGTGATGTGGCTTACAAGCTGGCAAGGCCAGTGTTTGAGGTCATGCCTGGGATTCCTTACCTGGAAAACATTTTTCTAGCACTTTTCCTCTTTACCCAGAAATCCTGTTCCTTTTCAGATGTAAATGCACACTTCCCTTATTAGTAGATTTTTTTTTTTATTTTTTTCAAACGTTTTGAAATTACATTTTGAATAATGGAACTCTAGTGGAAAATCCAGGCAGTCTGCCCTCACCCTTATTATGCTTCACGAGTCTGTTTTCAAACCTCTGTCAAACTAGTCTTTGAAAAGAAGTGATTAAGAATTGGCCAATAATGAAACACTCAGTTTAATTAGAACTGGCTAGAAGCATTTTGTGTTTAATTGCCCTTCAAACAAACACATGTAAATTAAAATAAATAAATAAATATTGAAAATGCTAGCATGTGTATGTATGATTTTATTTATTTTTAACCAAAAAGCCTGTGCTACGTATTTTGCTCTAAATTAGTCACTTCTGATATTTTAAGGATCCTTCTCCGTATCCATATCTCAAGAGTCAGTGAAGACTATGCAGAAGCAGAGCTGACATGAGAGAGATTTAGTTGCATGAGTTGCCAGTGGCCTGGAGTAAGGCAGTATCTCTTCCTCCCTCCCTCCCTCCAGGCTAAATCTCACGGGATAAAGGTAGAAGAAATTCAGGTCCCCATCTTAACACCGCAGCAGCCTCGTACCTCACGTACGTGGTGGCTGTCACCTGGATGGGAGGCAAGCTGTCCTCCTGACTTCACACAGCCCTTGCAAAATGGATCCTGTAGGGTTTGGAGGCTTGAGGTTTTTAAGATGGTCCAGGGAGTTCTTTCATAGATCTGGCAGCTCTGGGCAGTGGGTCTCCTGAAAGATCTCTGTGTGTTTGAGGGGTGTCATTACTTGTCGGTGCTAGCGTAAACCATTGCCACGGCACAGCCGGCCAACTGCTTCAGTGGCAGAAGACGTGATGGGTCACTGCTGGGTGGTGAGGGGGGGAGGGAATGACTTAAATGTTGGCGTTTTTAATTGATGTAAAACAGAAGGGCAGTTAGGGGAGGTGTTTGCTGTGGAAAACCAGCAGCACCTCTTGCCTTTTGCTGGAACAAGTGAGAAACGTTTGAGGCCTTTTAAGAAGGGGACTGTTTTGAGTCACCATCACTCAGGCTCAAAAATAATTGAATTGTTGCAGAGTAACTTGATCGCTGACTTCAGACTTAAAATCACCGGCAGTTGGGTGCTATACAGATTCGTAGCTGCTGGAAATTGCTGTAGTTCCGCTGGCTTTTAGCATGAAGGTCTTCATCCCAGGGCTCACTCTGTGTACAAGGGTGTGCAAAGGACCCAAGCATCCTAGAAGCCACATGTAGGAGAACTGCCTTCTCCTGTCCTTGGTGGCACAAACCAGCTTGCAGATGATTCTTAGCTTTTATGCAGATTGTTGTCAGCTTCAAACGTACGCATCCAGGCAGGAATCGTCTCCTCTTTTCGTGTGTGGTGTTCTCAGCTACTGGCAATGCATTGCTCAGTAAGAGTAAACAGTTTGCAGCCGAACACTAGTTTTTTTACAGGGGTAGCAGTTCTGTGCAAATGTAGAATTCTAGGTGATGGTACTTGCCTGGAGTTCAATTTATAGCCAAATGCTTGCCTTCTCCACAGAACTGAAACTTTCATGTTAGTTCTAGGCTAGAACCCAGATTAAGCTTGTTTTCATTTCATGATCTGAAAAGTAGAGCCCCAAATATTGTTGCTGCCATAATTTTACTCTCATAAATTAAAAACTTTTTTTTTTCTTTTTTTTAAGCTAAGGATGTTACTTACATCTGCCCCTTCACTGGAGCAATCAGAGGAACCCTTACTGTTACCAATTATAGACTGTATTTTAAAAGCATGGAACGGGTAAGCTTTTGAAACCATCTGCTTTTGTTGGCTATTCAATCTTTAGACCTAGGTGTGCTTTGAGAGAAATTCTGTGTGAATCATAGCTATATGTTTGGGAATATAGGCTTAAGGGAGCAGGAGCTGGGGATTTTTCCCCCTCCCGTTTTTAAACTCACAAATTTGAACTGTCTACAGGACCCTCCTTTTGTCCTAGATGCATCTTTAGGTGTAATCAACAGAGTGGAGAAAATTGGAGGTGCTTCCAGTCGCGGTGAGAATTCATATGGGCTGGAGATTGTATGCAAGGTAAACTTTTATCTGTTTTACAATAGGGGAAGGGGAACATATATTTTAAAAGGTTTTCATTGTAGTATTGTAGGAAGTTCTGCAAAACATTTCAGTCAGTATGACTTCACACACTTCAAAAAACATTGGATTTTAAAAGTAATTTTCAGGATTCTCCAGCTCCACTCATTCAAGATGAGATCCAAACCTTTATTCAGGCTTTGTGCTAGGTAATGTCTTTTCTTCAAACCTAGGCGTGCATCCTGCTAATGCAGTTCTCAGGGTTGCCCACCAGGCTATTCCAGCTAGACTCCAGTTATGGTGAAATACAGGATGCTTTTCACTCACTTCAAGAGCAAGAAAGGGGCATTTTTCTCCCTAAATCATTAGCTTATGTCCACCTGCTGGTGTGCTTTGTGGTGAGGGACTGGCAAATAGCCTTCCATCCTCGAGGCTGTTCTTCCATTTCTTTCCAGGCAGTACATATTTCACATGTACCTCTCAAGAACCCTTGGAATCATTGAAAATCTAAACTTCAATAAAAATTAACAGTTCACCTCCTCGTGTGTCTACTTACTGTAGACCCACAGAGTAGATAAAGCCACCATCTCCAGTCCTAAATCTACACTTCTGCTGTTCCCCAGGGCATGGCCCCTCTGCTTCCCTCAGTGGCCGTGTGGGGAGAGCTGGATTCTGAACCTTTTAGGTCTTGGGCTGCTTAGAGCTCTTGTCAGAGCCCCCTCAAGGATGCCGCTTGATGGATAAGGCCAGATGGAGGAATGAAAAGGAGTCCGAAACTGCTCTGGTCACTGCTGTGATTTTGAGGCACCAGGAAGCTAAGCACACTCTCAAGCTGTGGGCATACTGAGTCAAGAGCAGTTGATGTAAGCTATACCAAATCACCCAGCTGCTCCCTTGTCCTATTGCAGTCATGATCCTCCCTGGCTAATGTAGGGGTGCTTGTACTGGCAAGCTAATTTTTCCCTGTTTTGATCTGGATTCCCAGTCCTCAGCCATTTTGCCTATATGCAAATTTGCACACATGGTCAGGTTTGGAGTGAATTATATTGTTTCCCTGGGTGGGAAACCCAGCCACAAACTATATGATGAGTATCTTGGCCCTATACAACTTGGGCCAGCCTGCTTGGCCCGGGCTATGCAGAGCAGTTTAGTGCAGTAACAGAGTAGTACAGATACGGCTTCTGCATCCTGAAATGTGTTCTGTCTGAGACCAATTACCTAATCTCAGTTTTGTGAGAAAGCTAAGTCTTTAGCTGTTTATCTCATTCTCTGACTTGCTGTAACATCTTCATACGCTTGAACTTGATAGCTCATTTCCTGCTTGTGGCTTTTAAACTGTTTACTACAAGTGTCTGACTTGTAGGCTTGGCTGGAAAATCTTGGCATCTTAGAGACGCTTTATTTAGTTTCCGAATTTGATTTTGTAGATGAGTACAGAAGGGAGGTCCTGGGTTACCACTCTTTGTGGAAACTGTGCTGCTGTGCAAAGTGGAGGAGTTCTCAGTTTCAAGACATCCTCTTGAGTGCACTGAGAGATGGAAGCTTTAACGGGAGATGGCACTGGTTGCTTTGCACCACACTGGCTGGACTTGGGCTCCCTACGTGCAGTAGCTCTCTGGAGGTCCTTTGTGAGGCAGTCCCTTCCAGCTGTCTTCTGGCACAGCTCAGCGTGAGAGCCCAGTAAGAGGTAGGAGGTCTGTCTCACAAAGTCCTGTCAGTCAGCTTGTTCCTCCCCTAGACTTTCAGCAGGTAGAGAGCTTCACGTGAAGGCAAGATGCTGCGCTCAGGTGCACCTGTGCGCTCCCTCTGCTCCTCTGCAGTTGTGGCAAGCTTTGTTGGAGGCTGCAGACGACTACTGAACCAAGCCCAGAGTTACAATACAATGTTCAAAGTACGATATTAAATCAGTACTAGAAAGAACATCATGATGTGACCCTATTTTGAATGCTGGCTTTTGGATTTTCTTTGGATTTTGAAGTGGTTCAAAAATCTGCAATTTGATTTCCCTCTTTTTTTCCTAGGATATTCGAAATTTGCGATTTGCTCATAAACCTGAAGGGAGAACTAGACGATCCATATTTGAGAACCTAATGAAATATGCTTTCCCAGTTTCAAATAATCTGGTAAGTATTTTCTTTTCAGTTTTTACCAAAAGACACAGAATGGCAGTAAGCTGTTTTGTTCAGTTCCATCTATTTGGTACAGTGTTCACATGGGGTGCATTTTGCTGAAGAAGGAGAAATGCTGGGTTTTAAATCTGTTTTAAAATTAATTCTGTAGGAGTTTAGATTGTATAGAAAACAGGAAAGGTCTGCTACTGTGAGGCTGGAGTCCTTCATGCATGGAGAATGACTTACTGATACATCCTCCTAACAGCTAATGGTGACTGCACTGCCCCAAATCTGGAATGCAGTTTGTCTGCTCTGTCGTGTTACGACACTGCAATTGTTGCTTCAAATACTGGTTGAAAGGATCTAGTTCTAAATATGTAAGAGCGTTCTTGCCCAAATAGTCTTTTCTTTCTGTCTTTAATAATAAACTCCTTTTGTCCGTGAAGTACTAGGTAATAGACAAGCAAGATCAGGGGTATAGAGGAAAGTACGTTGTTGTACTAATTACCTGCTACAGCGAGCATGTTGATCTTTTTCACAAAGCCCTAAAAGAAAAGTAGTGCAGTGGGAAAAAAGAAAGACCAGTCATAAGTTACTATTTGAGATCTCAAACATCCTGGAAATGGGCTCTGAGTGGGCTCTTAATGGTAAATTTTCTTTCTTTCAGCCACTTTTTGCATTTGAGTACAAAGAGGTTTTCCCAGAAAATGGATGGAAGGTGTATGACCCCACTTGGGAGTACAGAAGACAGGTGGGTATTGTGCCATGTCTTTCCTCATCTTCTCTACTCTTCAGAAGTGAGGCTCTGTGCAGTAATATAATTACAGGTCGCATAGAGCGGAGAATGATCCTGCTGACAAATGTGGTGCAGGCTGGGTTAGGACATTGTTCTGCACACTGCAGTGACTGATGACAGCAGTACAGCTTTAGAGATAGTAGCATCCACTGATGAAGTTCATTACTCAGGCTGCAGACAGCTGACTTTAGGCTTTGGTGGAAAAAACTTTTGCTCTGACTTAGTCATCAGCCACTGTTGGCAGTGAGGAACAGAGGCTGCGTTTTGCAAGTACAGGTGTCCCGTTATTGAGTTTCACACCTCAGCTCTCGCTTGTATCAGTTTTAATTCTTCCCAGTTTTTCCTGTCTCAGACAGGAACTTGGAAGGAAGAAAAATTAAATGTAGAATGCCTTCATTTTCTTGGGGAATCAGTCAGCACAGGGATCAGCCTAGAGGGTGTTGTGATTAACCATAGCTTAGAACAGACAGTTGTAGTGTGTCCAGAGTAGACTGGTCAAAGGTATTAATGATCGTGAAGCGGCAGGCTGTCAATTAGGAATGCTGTGGTAAAACTTGAGTGTTCCTGCCTGGGGGAAAAGATGGGAGAATTCTGGTTTTTATAATGAAATCACTCTTCTCATAAAATCCTTAAGTAGAGGAAACAGCACAATTCAGTGACACATTTGCCCTGGACACAGTAAAATTCTGTCTCATCCAGATCTGCCAGAATAAAAACAATTTTCCTTTGTAAAATTAAGAAATTTTAAGCCAGTAAATTTAAAGATTTATTTGGGTCTTTCCCATAAAACGAAACAAAACCTGACCTACGTCCTAGCCTAGTAGTTCATCTGATTCCTGGCATTCAAAACGTAAGGAAAGGATTAATTTTTCTAGCTTTAGTCTTCTAAAAGCTGGGCATGCCTTCTAAATTGGTTATCTAGGCCTGTCATTAACAGATGGGGAGAGAGCGCTTCACTGTTGGGGGTGATTTGTTCCCTCCTAAAATAGCTGCCTAAGATAGATCGCTGGCTTCTAGGCTGCTAATTGAAAGTGAGATGTATCTTACCTCCGCTGTCTTCATTGCAAAAAGGGTATGTTTTGCAATGAGAGACCACAATCTAAAATCATAGTAGAGACAAACTCTGATCATTTGTAATCAATGACACACATTGTATCTAAGGTCAACTTTGATTTATAAGACCAGATAATGCAGTGATTATTTCTTCATTTAGAATTTACCTCTTTCTTGGTAGTAATTTTAAGGAAAGATCTGTTTATAAAGAAGGATCTGCAGCCCAAGCTGCATGGGCAAGATGCTTCTTGATAGGGCTGAGAACTTTGGAGTAAAAGCTAAAGAACACCTGTGCTATCAAAATAATCTCCATTGAAGAGCACAGCATTCACTTAGCCAAGCTTCAGTTAAAACAGATGAAGTACAAAAGACATTCTTACAATACCTGGAGAGAAGGAAGGGTGACCCTTGAGAATTTGGAGGTAGACTATTCCAATTTCTTAATCCTGGCATGTCTGGTTTTAGAATACAAGCTTCTCTGTCCATATCAGTTTTTAGATTGTGATTGGCTGTACCTTAAATTTGGCAGGAGCTTGGTTACATGGTGAAAGAATACCTGTATCTACATGCATGTGATTTGCAGCTTTTCATGGCCTTTCTGTAAAGAAAATGGGACTCTGGGCCATGGTATCTTTGTTTCTGGTCACACAAGGTAGCACTGTTGTGTGTAAAGCATATCACAATCGAAACATTGCTGCAACGTGTACTTCTTTTGCTATGACCTGTTTTTCTATCATTTTTGAGCGGACAGGAAAGACTTAGCCTGACTGCTTTTATGTCAAGAAATCAAACTAATGTCCATATGTGGAAGCCCCTGGTCATTTGCTTACATTGGTAACTGCAAATATTAATCCAAACCTGGATTTTTTGCAGCCATGGCCTATCTGAATTTTACCCATGATGAGCCACACTCATTCCCATTCCAGATCATGCAATCCATCTGTTCCAGTAGCTTATCTCCAAAAGTGACCAACACCAGCTGCTGAAGACGAGGCAAACCATACTGCAGTAGATGTTTATGTTGTGATCTGGCCAGGAGGAGAATTTCATCCCTTTCATGAGATTGATTTAGGTCCTGCAGCATGAAGCTTTATGTCCTCTCCAAAACGTTTAGGTATTTCAGTCTGTTTATTTAATTTCAGCATTTATAACTATGGATGTTCAATTTATCTGTGTGAATGTCTTAGCCTTTTTTCTTAATCCAGCCAGGTTCTGTTAAAGCAGTAACAAATACTACAGTAAATCAGGATTATGTCCTGAAATGGCAGCAGGGATTCGTTAACAGTGAAACAAAATGGGCATCATCAAATCAGATAATGGGATTACCTGTCTCTGACTGTATGAATTGTGATCAAAAATAGAAAAGCAGGACATATGCACTGTCTGCAGGACCTTTTGGAATTGGTTTAAAAACTGTTAGTGAAGAGCTGGCCTAGGGCATAAGCAGCCCAGCAGTATGGCCAGGCATTAACTTGGTCTGTCTTAGGCCAGGTCAATCATTTCCCTGTGTGAGCAGGGACACAGAGAGAGGGGAGCGGAATGAAAGTAGAAGCCAACTACCAGGCATCCAGAAAAGACTTCTAGAATAGGATCCTTGGTAGGATCTTTGTCTACACTGGTAGACATGGCAAGTTTGCATGTCGTGTGATTTATTTACTATAATTTTTTTTCAGATTAATATAAGTGTGTTGATATGATAGAGATTGTAGCAATTAGGAAAGATACTCAGTAAACCCCTGACTTCTCTGTTAGCGTTCTTGGGAAAGATGGAAATATGTAACTTCTAAAAATCTGTGATTGTGTAAAACTATGGGGAGTAATAAACAACCTGTAGAGAACAAAAGGAACTCAGAGAGGTTTGGGATTTAGTTGGTAAATGGAATCACATGTGGCAAATGAAATTTAAAACTGAAATTGCTCCCTGATTTTTATTACACGCGGGCTGGCAGAGTATAAAACAGAATTGCAAAGTGAATAAGACTCAGTTGAAACCAAAAGGCCTTGAGATGCCTTTGGAGAAACTTAAAGCTTTCATTTTCCATAACAAGGTGGGGAGCATTTGGAAAATATTACAAGGGGTTGTGAAGTTGGAAATGTGTGGTGTTTCCCTACAGAAGTCGTGCTCGTCTAATCCTGTGCTCTGGTCATACGTACCAGGCAGCCACAGTATAGGGCTGTGGTTGCTGCTTTCAGAGAAAACGTATAGAAATTAATAATTCAGAAGAAGACCTGACCTGTTCCGAGGATAAAAGAAGTGCCCAGCATTAGTATACAAGCAGAGTGGGAAAGGTAGAGCATGAGAACAGCACCCTACAGAGGAATGTTGGGTGTAATTTAGGGGAGTAAAATGAGAATTGAACTGTTAAATGTCCCATGGTTTAACTGAGGTCCTGCTTATGCTAGGTATGTCTCTACTGCAAAACAGATCATAGCTCTCTTGTGCTAAGTGGACACAACCTGGGCTGAGTACACGGCAGAGGGACCAGCTTGGCTCTGGCAGCTGTGTCCTGTGTCGGTGCAGGGATGCGCCTGAGCTAATGTGCTCAGCCGCTTGGTATCTCATGGCTCAAGCCAAGTTTGAGAGAGGCACCGCTGGTGTGTAACTGGGGACCCTCCCTGCCTTGCCCGCTGCAGCTCAGGGTGTACCTGCATGGCTAAGCTCGGAATCGGTCCACTGGATCCTGTAGAGAGATGAATTATATGTGTAACTCCAGCAAGGAAATTATTTTTTTCCTGTCAGTGAAAGATCCTCATGTGCTTAAGCTTAAACATGTGCTTTGCAAGGTAGTGGCTTCAGTGCCGTGCCGATATGTCTTCAACAGTTTTTCCCTGCGAATGAAGAAACTCCCATCTTCTACAACGTGCATAGGTCAAGTGATAACTGAGCAGGGGTCATTAAAGTGAGGCATGAATGACTACCCAGAAGGAAACCAAGTCTGGTTTATGTGTGTAGATGATACAAAGGCTGTGTCTCTATGGTTAGATGATACAGTCGTAAGGAGTGTTCCCAAGCAGTGGGGCACCTTCATCATGAGTTCCAGGCATAGCTTCAGTCCAGGCTGTTACCATCCCTCTTTTGAGTGAGTGTTTGAGACTCTTTAGCCATGCATGAGAGTGATCTTTCAGCAAGATGTATGCACATTGAGAGTATGAAGCAGTTATTTACTGGCTAACACACAGAAAAGATAGCTGAGATTTAACTAGCTACTAGGCTGAGCATTAGTACTCACCACCTCAGAGAAGGCAGAGAGACTTTCCTGGCCAGGCAGGCACCAGTGAGAGGAGAAGGATCAGCTTCTGCACCTCCTTCAGTTGGGTTGTTGTTGCCATCTTCCACCAGCAATGTCAACACCAGCACACAGATGACCCAGCTGTTGGCCCTCACCCAATGACTAAACTTACTAAACTCGCAGTTTTTCCCTTAGGATGCGATACCATTTCATGATGTTGTTTTCCCTCTTGAAATCTTGAGCTACCAGCAATCCCCACCTCAACAGTCCTCTTCCTCTGTCTGCAGTTTTACATTTCTTGCCTTTCTGTGGATTTTCAGACAGCTCTTTCACATGGCTTTGCAGTGTCCTTGGCACTCTGAGCCACGGTGGTGTAGCTGGGCCACATCAGAGGTGGGACCTGAAGAGGCAGTCAGGCCCTTGTGGAGTAGAGAAGAGGGAGGGCTGCAAGGCCAGCTTGCCTGCTCCCAAACCTGGGCACAGTTCAGAGGCTGATACAAGCCAAGGATCACCAGTAGGCAGTTTGAACAAACTGCCCTGTTTTGAGGATGAATGAGTTTAATCGTATGGATGTGAGGTGCACTGTGCCAGCTGGTCTCAGTGAGAACAGTCTTGGGCACCTTTCGTTTATGACTATAAATGTGGCCACGTTGCCTTCCTCACTTTGCCCTTTGGCAGACACTGAACACGTGAATTCTCCTGAAATCAGGGTCTACTAGCAGCATTGGTTTACCTGGAGAAGACTGACCTTGTGCACCAGTCAGGGCAGCCAGCTCTGGTCCCTAGCAGCTTCAGGACTCTACCCGCTGTTAGCGGGTCATGCCTGGGTTCCTCCTGCAGGTGCACAGGCAGGCAGCTCCCAGAGCGGGTCCTGAGCTTGCAAAGGCTTCTTGAGTTACATCTGTAACAGTTTGGGTTGGTTTGATAGTAGGCTTTTGGGTGCTTACAACTTACCAGGAAGCAGTGAAATGCATCTTATATGAGGAAATACCAATGTGCTTTACCTCATATTTAGCTTTTTCTATTGATTCCAGCTGGAGAAAGCACAAATCTGAAGGAGCATGAGTAAATGCAGAAGCTACACTGCATCATGGCAAACGTCCTGGGAAGATGCAAATTCAGCTTCTCTTCTAGCCCTCTTTGTTTGCTTCAGTTCCTTAGAGAAAGTCATGATCTGAATCCAAAGCCCTCTTTGGGTGGTGCTGTGATTAAAGGCTCCCGTGCCAAGGGAAAGCAGACATTCCCTGTGATTCAAAGGAAATTTGAATGCTGACACACAGCATCTTTTCTTTCTTTGAGGGCTTGTCATGGATTTTCCTGCTCTGGGCTATTGCAGAGGAAAAATTTCGTTCAAATTTGTCAGGGTGGTAGCTGAAAGACCTAGAGCTTTGGAGGTGTCGGTTCTGGACTGAGCAGTGTGTGCTGAAGCAGTTCTGCCCAGCACTGTGAAGAGAGTGCTTTACAGTGCCAGTGACTGCTTGATCTTCTCAATGAGCACTGGTAGAGTTGCAGGGTAGAATGACAAGAAGCTTTTCTTCCATGTAACTGCTTGTCAGCTCTCATTTTCCTTGCCAAGAGTGTGCCGACAGTGTAGTTTTAATTCACATGTGGGGGAGGTGAAATCTCCAGGCGTTGCTGATGGATCCATTGCAGTGCAGTCATGTACTTACGAGGACAGGACTGAGAACAATTTAGTCATTTGCCATTAGTTCACTTCCAGATAGTAAGCAGTTTGATCACAGCTGATGGACAGCTAAGAGCAAGAGTCTTGCTATTCCCTGGCTGACAGCAGAGCTGGTGGACCCAGGAGATTCTGTCCTTGCTGCGTACAGCAGGTAGACCTCTGAGCATGTTTTACCCATCAGTAAGCTTGGACTGTGCGTACACACTTTTTGATGCCTTTTTCTGCCACCTCTTTGGCTTCAGGCAGTGCCAAAAATAGCTTTCCTTTAGGGTTTTGGGGTTCTTGTGATCCTGGGAGCTCTGCTGATTCCTTGTAGTAACGTTTCCTTCCCAGGGAGGGCCCCAGGACCAGGGGTGGTTCACAAGCAGGGTGTGACTGGTATTAGACAGAAGATCTGTCCTCTCCTCAGATTTCTAACCATGACCTGTTTTGACAGCATGACTCACCGCTCTGACTGGGAACCGGCTGCTGTCTGTGTGGGTCAACCACAATTACCACAGCTCATCTGACTTGTGTTAGATTTGTCATTTGTTTCCTGTGGGAGCCGCGACAGTGGTAATCAGTGTCCCACCACCCTCCTTAAAATGAAGTACTGTTTATTAGAACAGAAGCATGTATTGTTTTAAGAGCTGATGTTCCTCTAAAACAGACTCTGTGCTTAACAGCCTGGCCATGTTCACTGTAGTAGATCTGTCTTCCCCACAGAGATGCTTTGTGTCAGTGCTCAGCCCTGCTGCAGCAAGTGTCTGTTTAAATCTCTCCTTGCAGGCACGCAGTAGCAACCACACTGTTTTGATCTGTTAACTCCCAGCGTCAGCTGAACTAAGTCTGCAGGTTGTCAGGATCGTCCCCATTGTGCTTCGGGTGTTACCTGGAGGTTCTCATCTGGGAAGCTGTTGAGTTGCTTCCCCATCAGGACGTGCTGAGCTCAATGATGTGTGTGTGTGTAGATCCCCTGCTCTCCCAGCCCAAGTCAGACTAGTACAGCCAGAGAGCTTAATCTGAGAGGAACATGGGAGTTGCACATTACTGTCCAGATCACATACAGTCACGCGGCCAGAGACATACAATTATTAGGGTTTTGGTGGTTTTAGGGGATTGCACAGCTGTGCCACAAACACTGAACAAAGCCCAAAACAAATTGATTTTTTGGGGGTGTTTTACTGCCTGTTCTCACTTCTGTCTTCCCCTCCATCCTGTCTGGTAACTCCACTTTCCATCTCCAGTTTCCACCCACCACGTTTGAGCTAAGTGCCGAGAGAGGAGTGAGGACTGTTGGTCACCTGTTCTGTCCTGCTCCTGGCTCTCCTATAAGCACCATGATGCTACCAGGAGGTATGTTAAAGATGCTTTCAGGGGGATCACCTGTGTCGCCACATCTGTAGCCACCACAGTTCCTTTGCCATAGGTGAGCCTGCCTGCAGTCTTCTAGTTTTCCTGTTCCTCAGTGACCTGAGCAAAACATCTACCTCTCTGGGAAGAGGCATGAAATGCAAGTTACCAAGATAATGCAGTCCCAGGCTCCAGCCCTAAATGTCCTTCATTAACAAAAGTTGCCTTGCATTTCAGGTCTGGGGGTTTGACTGTGCTGAGATCTCAGAGCAACTCATTTGCTAACCTGCTGTTGTTTCCTCTTTAGGGAATTCCCAATGAAAGCTGGAGGTTGACCAAGATTAATGAGCGCTATGAACTGTGTGATACGTACCCTGCCATTCTAGCTGTGCCTGTAAACATTCCGGATGAAGAATTAAAGAGAGTAGCATCTTTCAGATCAAGAGGACGCATACCAGTGAGTGTGACAAAAGAAACCACTTTGATGTGGTTTTGTTACATACCTTTGGGCCATAAATAATACCAAGATCAGGCTGAGTGGATTCCAGGGAGAAAATAAATGGTCAATGGATAATAAAAGTGCCAGCAACATGTTTGAGGAGTTAGAAAGCAACATTGTCTGCTGGGACTACTGTTGTGAAAAAGATGTAGACTAAACCAAAATGAGAAGATAAGATAACTTAGCACAACCCAGACCAAATCTCAGTTCAGTTCCTGAGAAATGCAAAGCAGCCCTATTTGGTTGTTTACAGTTGTCTGGCCTACTCTGACTTGCAGGATAGAGGAATACGTAGTGATGCTCTTGATGAAAATGCTTATTAAATGAAATTAAGACAAAACACATCATTATGATGATTATTTTAGCAGTAAGTGGAAATGTACTCTTTTACTTCTCAAGTCGATAGAAAATTAAATCTGTTCCTAAAGTGCTTAACTTTTACGTGGTGTAACATAGAGTAAGACATAGCCCAATGACTGCAGAGCGAGAAAGTGTGCTTATGACTCACACAATGGCAAGAAAACAGTCTGCATCCTATTTAAAAGTCAGACTTAAACCTATTCAGTCACCTCTTGTTTGTTCAAACTTTGGGAATACCACCAGAATGAATGAGTAAGGACAGAAGAGCTCGCTCTTTCATTCAATCGTGATTTAATAGAATCCAGCCTTCTGGAACCAGCAAATACAAGGCAGGATCCCAGAGCAAGCCATTACAGGTAAAACACTTCACTGGTTTAATGAATCCCATTTTTCTTTCATTTCTTTTTCATTTGTTTTCAAAGGTATTGTCATGGATTCACCCAGAAAGTCAAGCAACGATCACTCGCTGTAGCCAGCCAATGGTGGGAGTGAGTGGCAAGCGAAGCAAGGAAGATGAAAAGTACCTTCAAGCCATCATGGATTCTAATGCTCAATCCCATAAAATCTTCATATTTGATGCAAGGCCTAGTGTGAATGCTGTAGCCAATAAGGTCAGGTGCTTTTTCCCCTGTCTAAAGCTGGGAATGTAATAATTTAAAGCACATTTCCCACCACCATTCCAAATTATTCCTGAGGATCACAAAGGGTTTTCCACTGTGAAGGGGGGAGTCATATGCAATGATCTGATTCTCTGGACAGACTTTTACACCTGCGTTGGTATCTGTAAGATATCAGAGTGACTACTAAAGTCCATTTGGGTTAATCTACAATGGGAAATGAGATTGGAAGGGGGAAAAAAAATCAAATTAGTACTGAGGTCAAACTCCAGCACCCTGGATCTTGTGTATCACCATTTTTCTCTTCACATGGTTGAAAGACTGCTTCCCCTAACAGCACTAGAACTCTGTCCCTGTTAACTGTGATGGGAGCAGCACTTCTGAAAATCAGGCATCATGATCTTTAATCTCAAAATATAAGCTGGGGATCTTTAATGTCTAGGAATGTTGCTGTGTTCTTCCTGCTGTTACAGTGTCATGGTTTAACCCCAGACAGCAACTAAGCACCACGCAGCCGCTGTCTCACTTCTCCCCCACGCAGTGGCATGGGGGAGAGAATCGGGGAAAAAAGAATCGTGGGTTAAGATAAGAACAGTTTAATAGAACAGAAAGGAAGAAAATAATAATGACAATAGTAACAATAATAAAATGACAATAATAATAATAAAAGGATTGGAGTATACAAAACAAGCGATGCACAACGTTATTGCTCACCACTCACTGACTGATGCCCAGTTAGTTCCTGAGCAGTGATTTCCACCCAGGGGCCAACTCCTCCCAGTTTATATACTGGGCATGATGTCACATGGTATGGAATACCCCTTTGGCCAGTTTGGGTCAGCTGTCCTGGCTGTGTCCCCTCCCAACTTCTTGTGCCCCTCCAGCCTTTTCGCTGGCTGGGTATGAGAAGCTGGAAAATCCTTGACTTGTTGCTAAGTAGTGTTTGTACCAACTGAAAACATCAGTGTGTTATCACCATTCTCCTCATACTGAACCCAAAACATAACACTATATCAGCTACTAGAAAGAAAATTAACTCTATCGCAGCCAAACCCAGGACATTCAGAATCACAGAATCATAGAATAGTTTGGGTTGGAAGGGACCTTTAAAGGTCATCTGGTCCAACCCCCCTGCTATGGGCAGGGACATCTTCAACTAGGTCAGGTTGCTCAAAGCCCCATCCAACCTGGCCTTGAACATTTCCAGGGATGGGGCATCGACCACCTCTCTGGGAAACCTGCGCTAGTGTTTCACCACCCTCTTTGTAAAACATTTCTTCTTTATATCTAGTCTGAATCTACCCTCTTTTAGTTTAAAACTATTAATTACCCCTTGTCCTATCGCAACAGGCTCTACTAAAAAGTCTATCCCCATCTTTCTTCTAAGTCCCCTTTAAGTACTGGAAGGCTGCAATAAGGTCTCCCCAGAGCCTTCTCTTCTCCAGGCTGAACAACCCCAACTGTCTCAGCCTTTCCCCACAGGAGAGGTGTTCCATCCCTCTGATCATTTTTGTGGCCCTCCTCTGGACCCGCTCCAACAGGTCCATGTCTTTCCTGTGCTGAGGACCCCAGAGCTGCATGCAGCGCTCCAGGTGGGGTCTCAGGAGAGCAGAGCAGAGGGGCAGAATCACCTCCCTCCACCTGCTGGCCACGCTTCTTTTTATGCAGCCCAGGATATGGTTGGCTTTCTGGGCTGCGAGTGCATATTACTGGCTCCTATTTGGTTTTTCATCCACGAATTCCCCCAAGTCCTTGGCAGGGCTGCTCTCAATCCCTTTATCCCCCAGCCTGTACTGATACCAGGTGTTG